TTTCAGACCCAGCCCCCTCTGAAATGTGCACATAAGGGGCCTGGTTTCTCAACTTCAGGGGTGATGTAATGGAAAATGCCCCCCCAGCCAGTATACTTCAGTTTCTTAGTTGCCCAGGTAATAGTTCCTGTTCCATTTCTGGTTGCCTGTGTTTCTTAGCAAAGGCTGGTCACTGTGATGCATAGCAGGTCACTGTGATGCACATTGTATAAACCAATCCCCAATTGACAAACCATTCTGCTCTGTACTTCCTGCTTGCTTATCCCATATAAACCCTATACCCCCAGAGATCAGGGCCTGATATTTTGGGAATGATCCTGATCAGTGCCCGTTGATGTAAATAAATCTGCCTCTAAACCCTGGATGTTGTTTTGGTGCTTACTGTTGCAGTGGGACCCCCATGACCTCCCTAGCTTGAGCTTTAATGTCTCAGGTGGTCTGTCCTAGCTGTCCACTTTCCCTAGCTGTCACTTCTGACCCTATCCCACCCAGTCACTTCCAGAAATCTAGAAGTATAATTGTTCTGTAGCTCATTCCCCTTTCCAAAATAGCTCCTGATTAACTCCTTTCTGCTGGCTTGAACTACCGTGGTACATATGTGACTGCCCCTTACTGCTCACCGGGACAGTCTTGCATGTATCACCAGAGGTTCAGAGCTGCCCGTCAGCCAGACATAGAATTATGGTCCCGATTATGAACGTGTTAAACACTCTCACATATGATGCACACTGCACTGGATATCTTCTCCAACACTAGCCCGCCACGAAAGAGTCACCTTTGGAGTAAAACCCCATACTATTTTTGCAGTTTACACTAATCATGGGCTTTTCTTGGGGCTGTCACTGTTGGCTCCTGGAATCAACAGTCTGCTGTTTTTCTTACGACTTCTGATCTTCTCCAGGCTTCTCTTGTATTAGTGAAGATGGTTCCTCTCCCAGAGAGCCAGTGTTAGATTTCTGGACTGATTTGTTTTTTCTCTGTCTTGTGCACCATTTCTCCAGCTTCTAGGTAGTATCTAATTCTCTTGTCAGCTTCCTGCAGATTCCTAGAGATGTACTCTTTATATTTCTTTACCAAGTTGTTTTTCAGGTGTCTAGATTCCAGATCCCAGGGAGGCTGTGTTTTCTTGCCATTTTTAGTCTCTAGAATCTTATTTTCCAGCACAACAACAGCAAATGTTCCTCTTTGCATGAAAGCATAAGTGAAATGTTCTATGGAGACAATTATAAACAAAACGCATTATAGAGCACCTAACCAAAAATATTTTTGCTTTGAATAGAAAAATCCTTTCTTCTCAAGTTTTGATATTCTGATACCTTATTTTAGCTTCTAGGAAAACTCTTAATTTTTGCTAAGATTTAATGAGTATGGTCAGGGGTCTGGGGATTTAGCTCAGTGGCACGGCGCCTGCCTGGCAAGCGCAAGGTCGTGAGTTCAATGCCCGGTACCGGAAAAAAAAAACCAAAAAAAAAAAAAACAGTATGGTCAAATTCAAATGTAAAAACTATTGTCTTTAGAAAAGAATATCAATTTGGGGCCAGATAGATGTCTTTTACTGTAAGAAAGCAAGAAATTGCTGTGTGAACCTCTACAACTGAGCGCTGTGTACTGGCTTTGCGCACTACCTTCCTTCTAGCCTGAGCAAATAGGTTTCTTTCTTGGTTTCTACGTCTGTTATCTCTGATAGGAGTGATCCTGTCCAGTCACTCACCTTGGTCAGGTTCTGTTACCCGCCATCTGTGATGTGCTGAGTAAAATGGTGTGATGTTCTCAGCGTAAGAGTCAGAGGTGGCACAGTCTGAGGTTTCAGGAAGCCTGGACAAATGTTTGAGCCAGATGCGAGCCCATGTTTGCCTGTTTCCTCAGCAGAGACTTTCACAGAAAGACTGGAAAATCCGTACACATCCTCCAGCTAGCCTAGGGAAAAATGGAGTAAATTTGTGTATTATTGAAGGTTAATTCAGCATATGAAGGGATTCTCGGGAGTTCTTCCTATGGGGAAGAGCCATGGGGCATTTATGAAATTTTGCAAGTAATATGGGATTGAGGCTGGGCTACAAAGAAAAACCCGAATAGAAGTTGAGCAGTTGCTTTTGGTTTTTTGACTTTTTACTAAAGGAGGATATGTAGTTTTTACATCAAGATCTGAACACACAAGCACACACATGCAAGTGTGCATGAGCACGCAAATATAAACACACCAAAAGTAAAAGTTTCTTTAAAAATATCTACATGATGTTTGAGACAGTCATATTTTCTGTTCTATTTCATTTTTTTTTAAATGCTGGCTATAAATAATGGAATTAACTCCATGAATTGATTCCCACTAATGGTATGTGACCTGTAGTTTACAAAGCACTCAGTGCCTAGAAGCATAAGCTTTTGTATCAGAGTATCAGATTTAAATGTTGGCCCTGTTGGTTACTACTAACCTGTCCCTGGCACTCAGTTTAAATAATGCATCTTGTGCCACCTTTCAGGAAACAATTATGTCAAAGGAAAATACATTCAAACTTACACCAATCACTGAAAATTTTTTTTTTTTATTTTGAGGAGAATAGAAAGAAAACAATAAAAATGTGAGAATTTCAAAACAAGGTGACAGGAAATTAACAGTAGTTGTTTGTTGGTATCATCTGTAGTGACAGGTCCCGAGAACGAGGTGCCCGCGGATGAATAAGAAAAGGTAAATGATAGGAACAGAAGAGGCAGAAGTCTGGGATCGGGGCCCACAGCCTCTGGGACTGCAGCAGCCCCGATCACCCATCTCAGTCGCCTTTTATTAGAACCAAGAACGTAACTCAGACCAGCGGGAGAAATTCATTATCCCTTTCCATTTCTGCCTCTCAGCGGATGGTAACCATCCTCGGGCGAGCCTCCCACACGCCGCACCATGCGCACCCAGCACGGCTGGGGATCATAAGCCCACCATCAGTAATCAGTTCATTAGCAGTCACAGTCCTTCCCCCACAGTTGTTGTATTGCATATTGTTATCTTCAAAGTAGTTGCTCAGATTACCAGATATAAGCATGCAAAATTGATCAAATAATATAAGCACTAACTGTTCCTTTCAGTGAACTAATAGAAATTAGTAGTACAATTATCTTAGCTAACTTATATGCATGTAATTTCTGTTCTTTCTTTTCTCCTTTCCCCATTCCAGTTGTTCCTTCCTTTTGAGCAGTTTCTTTCTCTTTCACAATACCTACTGTACCTTTTTTGGCTCTTATTTACTCTTTCAGTTTCTTACACTAGGGAGAGAGTAGGATGCTTATACATGTGCATCTGATTTATTTCACTTATGAGTATGGTGTCTAGTTGGATCCATTAACTATAAAAGCCTCGAGTTTATCTTTCTTTATAGCTGAGTAATACTCCATTGTATAAAAATACATCTTTTTTTTATCCATTCCTCAGTTGATGGGCATTTGGGTTGTTTCCAAGATTTAGCTATTACAGATTGTGCTGCTATAACATGAGTATACATATATCTCGGTGGTATGATGTTTTCAATTCTTCTGGGAAAATACTCAGAAGGGGAATAGCTGTGTCAGATGGGACCCCTAATTCTATTTTTTTTTGAGGAATCTCCACACTGATTTCCACACCAGTCTATATCCAACAGTGGCGAGGCATTCCTATTTCCCCACAATCCCACCAGCATTTGTTATTGGTTGACTTTTTGATGATAACCATTGCTTCTGGGGTGAGATGGAATCTCAGTGTTGTTTTCATTTGCATTTCTTGAATGACCAATGAGGTTGAACATTTTTTCATATATTTATTTGCCATTCGTATTTCTTCATCTGAGAGGTGTATATTCATCTCAGATGCCCAATTTTTGATTGGGTCTTTGAATTTGGGGAGTCTGATTTTTTTCAGTCCTTTACATGTTGTAGATAGAAGGCCTTTGTCTGAGGGACAGTTGGCTATAAAACTTATTTTATAGATTGATCCATATGCTCATCCAACAAGAGAAAGTCCCTGGCCTTCCTCCCTTCACCCCACACTCTATTCTGCCGCTGCCTGGGGGAGCAGCCTCCAGAGTGTAGGACTTGTTTTTCCCAGTCCACCTCTTTATGGCAGTGGATAATGAGGTTGAGAGGCATGCTGTATGGGTTTAGCAAAAGTGTGGCTCCAAATTTGAAAAGAAGCATTCTTGGTTTAAGGATTAGGTGAGTACTAGCTGTCTTTTTTTTTTTTTTATCTTTTTGAGATGGGGTCTTGCTATGCAGTTCAGACTGGCCTTGAGTTCACTCTGTAGCCCAATCTGGTCTCGAACTCACAAAGATCTTCCCGCCTCACCCTCCCAAGTGCTGGGATTACAGGCACGTGCCACCTTACCCGGTGAATACTAGCTTTTTTAATACAAATCCTACACGATGAATTTGGATTTTTGAAGTTATGAAGTCTAATATTGTTTCAGAAATTTGTCTCAGAACACTGTCTTTTCAGTTACAGTGCATACCTTAAATATATGAAGTAGAATTACATGAACAAGTTAGATATTTTTAACTTTTGAGATATGGGTGGCTATGAGTTATAGGTTACTTTTACATAAATTGCACTGGACTAAGAGTCAGTATATATGATTTCAAGATCTGATTTTTCTGTCTTCTCTACACATGAGTTGAGGTAAGTTATTAACACTCTGCCTTTGTCACCTGCCATCTCTCTGTTCTACATTATAGGGATATTTGCAAGTGCTTTTTAGAAAAGTAAACTGCATTTTGTTGAGATTATTTGAAAACATTTGGTTTATCAAGAAGTGGCTAGGTTTAAAAAAGTCAGTCTCTGCATTATTATGTGTTAAGAGAAGAAAAAAAAAAGGTCCCTATGCATGTGAATTATGCATACAAGCTAACTGTATTCCCAGTATTTAGTAGAGGGCAGAATAAAATGTAAAGTTCAATGTACACTCTGGAGACTATGTTAAAATTATATATTCCTTTTACGAAAAGCTGAATGACATTTAAATGACATTTTTTCTGTTCTACAGGATCCAAAAGCAAATACCAAAGTAATTTGTAAGCGTTGCAAGGTAGTATTGGGAGAGACTGTGTCATCAGGTAAGAATTTCATACCAGAAAGCTAAAGTGATTGTCTCCTTATCTAAAGACAAACTGAGAGTTTGTAGTAAATATATTTGAAAGATTATTATTTTATAGACTTGATGCTTTTTAAACTAGAAACCAATTAACACGTCATGTCAAAACATTTGTATATTTTGACTTTTAGAAGTGCACAGCATTGATTTTTAGGTGTTGAGAAATTGGGTCATTTTCAATGTTTCATGTCCTCTTTGTAGTAGAAAGCGATTCTATAAAGTTTCTGTTTGTTTCTGTCCGTTGTTCTCAGAGATGGGAACAAGTTGCTTTGCTTGGTGGCCATCTGCCTCCAGGCTCTATTTTAGGCCTGGAGGTTGGAGAGGACCTGTTGAAATGGAAGAAAATACATTCAAAGTTTCATACTTTGTTCTGTTTTCTTTTCCCAGTCGTGTTAACTATATTTTCTGTAAACTCTGTGTTACACTACTTTAAAATATAATAATGAAGATCCTCATAATTAAAACATTGTTTAAAGATATAGTTTATAGTGTTGAGAGAGGCTACCATATGCTGTGTTAGCTTTGTGGGTGATGAGAAATCACTTCTAATGTAATTAATTAGAAAGTATAATGTAAGTGAAGCTGTTATATTTAAGGGAAGGCAGATGGTGTTATTTTCTGTTTGTTTTGCAAATCATCAAAATCTTACAAGTAGTTACTTACTCAGAAGGAGCAAAAAAGGAAGACAGAGTAGTGGTGGGGGAATGCTCTCCTCATCACCATTTTTGGAGAATGATAACAAATCCCTGGGGCTGGGGATTTAGCTCAGCGGCAAAGCGCCTGCCTGGCAAGTGCAAGGTCGTGAGTTCGGTTCGTGGTACTGGAGAAAAACCAAAAAACAAACAAACAAACAAACAAACAAAAAACAAACAAATCCCTTAAGCAAAGCCTTGGAAATTTAAAGTTTCTAATTAAATATCATGAACGGGTTTTAAATCCTTTTCTCTCCTCCATGAAACCCAGTTAAAATGTTAGTTAAGGAATAAAAAGGTAGGTGTGTAGCCAAAAAAGACAAATGAGGAGGAGATGTCAGTACTATAAACAGGAGGTGCAAGCAGGTTTCATTGGAATACACTTGACCCTCTGGGTGAGGTCATCTGAGTGAGAACTGAGCCAGTATTCATGTAGAGCTCTAGAACGGCATGAATTTGAAGGCCGCAGGTAACAGGAAAGGCAGTCTGAGGCAAGAAGCTCAAAGCAGGGTCATTAGTCAGACTCTGAGCTAGTAGTCTAATAAGTATGGAGGTATCAGACTCTTAAGTTTCCTCTTTCTCTTTGCAGTTTGCTTATGCAATCGTCCGCACAGAATTGGAGGACCTTTTCTTAGAATAATGAAGAATACTAGTAAAAGAAAAGACAGACCCTGATTCTTAGGGTCATGCAACCAAAATGGGCTTATGTTGTTCAGAGAGTTTCCATTCAGTCATCCTGTAGGCAGTAAACCATGTACTACACCTAAGAGCTTCTTCTCAATATTTCATTGCCTTATGCTTATTGGAAATTCCTCATATAAAAGAGATTGAGGCAAATAAATTATCAATCAAGAAAGTAAAATGAAAGAAGAAACAAATTATGTACAGAGCACAAGAAAATAAAAAAGACCCTTGGAGACCTGAAACAGTGTAGCTTTGATAATTAGAAAAACATGGGATTAAAAATGTAATAGCTTAAAAGATCAGAATACTTTACTGGGAGATAAGATTAAGGAGCTACTCCCAAATTATACCAAAAGACAGAGATTGAAAATTAGAAAAGAAATATAAAAAGATATCATTATTTAAGTTTCCTGTTGATAGGGTCATGGTCTATTTTGCTTGTCCCTTGTTTCTTATCTCTTAGATTACTACTCTCTGACACATAAGCAGTACTTAGAAATTTCTGTTGAGTGAGTGAATTGAGAGTTCAGAACACCCAATATCTAGCAAATAGAAATCCTAGTGAGAACAGAGAGAGGATGTAGGAAATGATTACAGAACAAAACTAGCAAAAGCACTTCGCATGACTATTTTTGAGAGCTAAAGTTTCAATTTCTTAATGAAAAGGAATTACTAAGTACCCAGTGTAATTAATAGAGGGATAAAATGGAACAGTTTTACAGTCTTAGCAATAAATTTTCCAGAGGGGAAAAAGCAGTTAGGGTACAATGGATGACAAATTAGAACAGCATTGAACTTAATAGTAGAACTGAAAACTAGACGATAATGAAGTAATCTCTTCTTAATTTGGGACAAAGTTATGTCCCAGAATTCTATGCCCAGTCAGATACGAAGTTAATATCTGTTCTTTTGGAAATAATAAAATTTCAAAATATAGACCCCATGAGCATATTTTCCTTAGGAATCCTAAATGAATGTGTGTCACTAAAACGAGGGATTTAACTTTGAGATGACATAGGAAACAGGTTATCCAAAACAGAAAAACAAGGTAGCAAAGGCCATGAGTGAGAGATGTACAGCTGACTTAGAGAAAAAACAGCTTGGATTGAAGCAAGGAGAGGGAAGATTACAGTAAAGACTATTTTCATTATGAAGTGGAATTAGTAAATTCTGCCATGTCCCCATGTAACTAAATACCCTTGAGAGGAATGGGAGGAATTAGCTAGAGGTTCTTGGGAAAATAAACAAATGGAAAAAGAAAGCAGCTATTCATTACAGCAAAAGCAAAAGGTTGAGGAAGAAAGGAAACACCTTCATAGTATCATTTTGGTCATAATAATGTCAGTGCTGGATAGTCATTTACATAACATTATGATGCACTGGAAGGATATGAGTCAGTGTAAGTGATTTTGTATGAGGTGTCTAAGAGCTATGTACATGTCTGCTCTAAAAGTAAATTGATAGGACTCTGTTTCTTAAAATGATGTTAAGAAAACGGACAGTTCCATCCCACAAAGAGCAAGTACAGAATTAGACAAGGTCACAGAAATTTTTTTACTATCATAAATGCCAGAGAGTTTGAAAGTTTAGGAAGACTTCTGAATTTCCTTTGCTTTTGACTGCATTCCTCAGTCCACAAATAACTTGGGCTGCAGAAGGTAATTTTTCTAGGAAGTCTTACTTGTTTAAGGTATTTGAGCAGCACATCTCCCTGGATGATTTGCCAACGGCTAAACTGTGCAGGTCTAGTAGATACTATAGGGGGCCAGGCTGATCAGGATAAAACTGAACAGAGATATTAGTGACCATACGCTATGGGGAGACAGATTTCACAGTGTAAGTCCAGACCGGTTAGTTGGCTAGTATACTGAACCAACAACCTTCAGTGAGAATAAAACAGAATCTGGAGTTGCTATGAAGTATTACATATAGTGTCCGACTTTATCAGACATGCAAAGAAATGAGAGATTCATATTTAGGACACTAAAAGGACTCAGTAAACAGGTGCTAAGTATAAATGTTGGATTTAACAATATGGATTTAGATGAATATGTTAATGTAGTTACTATGAACATGGCAAAAAATTAAGAGAAAAAAATCTTTGACCAAATAGCAAATATCAACAAATTGGAAACGTCAAAAAAAGGACAAGTTGGTAATTTCAGATTGAAACATGTAACGAAAAAGAAGACTTCACTAGATGATTTAAACATAGAGTTCAAATGACAGAACATTTAAAAAATTATTGAGCTTGTAGATAATACAAATGATCAAATTCAAAGAACCCAGCAGATATAATCTGAAGTAAAATGAACAGAACCTCGTATCTGTGGGGCAATATCGAGTCTTTCTTCAAATGTGCAAGTGGATATTCAGAAGATGAAGAGAAAAGAAAGAGCCAGAAAAAAACTGTAGAAAAACAATGGCTAAAATCTTGTCAAATTTGAAGAAAAATATTCTTTCAGAGCTAAGAATTTCAGTGAACCCACAGCAGTTAAAATCAAAGAGGAAGAGAGAATCTTGAAAGTAGCAAGAAAACAAAACCAAATATCATATGTGGGGATTTCATGAGACAACTAAGGTAGATTTCATATTGACCTGTAGAAAGCACAAGTAAAATGTGCAAGTATTGGGGGGAAAAGACCTGTCAACCAGCATTGCTATATCCAGTAAAATTTGCCTTTAAACAAAAACAAAATAAAATATTTGTAGATAAATACTTGGAAATGACATATTACAAGCGGTCCTTCTCTACAAAAATTCCTCAGGCTAACGTGAAAGACACTAGATGGTAACTGGGACCCACCGAAGAAAGGGTGAGTGGGGAAAGTGGAAAATGAGTGAGAAAATTACCACAAAAGCAAGTATGCATTGTACGCAAGTCAGAGTTCTCCTGCAGTTTGCTAATTTTCTAATGTCAGAGATTTGTTTTTATTGTCGTGAGGACAGAAGTGAAAATCTCCGTAAGAAGGGCAACCGTGTCTCCACAAAAATCTGAAATTCTAAAAGCCATGCCCTCACAGGGCAGGGAATTAAGTGAGAGAGCTGTGTAAGATCATAAATAGATATTAATCCTTAGGGATGTCAGGAAATTTCAATTTTTTTTTTTCTGGTACTGGGAATCGAACTCATGACCTTGTACTTGCCAGGCAGGCGCTGTGCCACTGAGCTAAATCCCCAGCTCTCAAATCTTGAACTTGGTAAAGTCTACCTTGGACTGGACTTGTACCTTGATAAAATCTAATGCAGATCACCTCTGGAGGAAAATACTTCCATTGTAAAAGTCATTATTCCCACAAATAGTTTTTTCAAGTAGTATTCAGCGTACAACTAAAGATAAGCAGGCAAACAAGTTAAGTAGACTTCCATCATGAAGATCTAACAAAAACCAGATGAGAGTGGGAATAGACTTTTTAGTGGGGTTATAGTATATAAACTGTAAACCAACCATATTTAGTCTATTTATCAGTACAAAAGACTTGAAGATAGTGGAACAAAAAAGGAAACTTTAGCACTAAGTGTATTTGGAAAAAGATACAATAGAGTTTCTTTTTTTTTTTTTTTTTGGTTTTTCTCTGGTACTGGGAACCGAACTCACGACCTTGCGCTTGCCAGGCAGGCGCTTTTGCCGCTGAGCTAAATCCCCAGCCCCACAATAGAGTTTCTTAAAAAAAAAAACTATTATGTATCAAGCAGTGTTTACTAGAGAAACGGATAGAATAGAAGATGATACATATGTATAAGAACTCACAGTGGTCACCCACAGAGTCAGATGAAGAAGCTGAGGTTTGTCTGCACACCGGAGACCTGAAGGATCCAGTGAAAGGTCTGCAGCTCACTGTAGTGTCCGGCGTGAGTCCGTATCAGGAGACTGATGGGTCTGTGCTGGAAGCCAGGAGATGATGTCCAAGGGGAAGGTGAAGACGGGTGCTCCTCTGAAGAAACAAGCAGACCCATCCTTCTGTGTACCATCCGCGTGACCAGCCGCCCTGGGGTGGGTCTTCCACATCCAGAGTGTGGAATTGCTAAGCCAGTTTACTTGACCTTCTCTTCCTCAAATAGACCTGATCAGTGAACATCATATATTATAATTGAAATTACAAATTCAGAGGGTAGTTTAATAGCACAATAGGTACAACTTGAAGGAAGAATCAATGAACAGAAGATAGATGAGAAGAAAAGTCTGTAATCCTGTGCATAGACAAAAAAACATAAAATATACCTGGAATGCAGAATGAGAATTGACATGTGCTTAATCTGACTTATTCAAAGAAAAGAGGTAAAAAATAGGGCATGGACAATATTTGAGCAGAAAATTGTTGAAAATTTTACAAAAGTGATGGAGAATAACAATTTACAGATCCAAGAGGTACAGTGAATTCTAATTCATTGAGGTCCAGGTAAGATAAATACAAAGAAATCTATACCTAGATACATCAAAGTAAATCTGCAGAAAGGAAAGCAAAGAGAAAATCTTAAAAGCAGCCAAAGAAAAATGACAGATGTCTTCAAAGGAGCAGAAGTAATTTGAAGACAGTGGAACGATGTCGTCAATGTGTGCAAAGAAGTAACTGTTAACCCTAGAATTTTATGGCAAAGGAAACTATCCTTCAGCAAAGAAGGCAACGATAAATACATTTTTCTGACAAACAAAAACTGGGATAATTCACCACTGATAGTTCTTCAGAAAAAGAATACCCATTTTTGTAATCATATCGAGTATTCTGCCTTATCACTTAAAAATATTTTGTTTAATACTAAAAGAAATGATTTGAATTTACTTTTAGTAATAATGAGATTAAATGTTTTAACAGTTTTTTTAAAAAAAACAAGACAGCTGTGTTTATATTGATGTCTACTAATTGTATCTCTGTTGTTTAAACTGTTAGGTAAACTAAGTAATTTGATAACCAGATTTAGTGAGACTTACACATTAATACAGTTAGTGAGTTATAAGTAAAAGGCCTTTTTCAGTGACTCCTAGGCTATTTTATAGAAATGAGAAAATTCTACGTTATTCTATGGAAATGAAGAAATCTAATTGCTAATTTCGTATTAGTGGGTTCACGCTGTGATGTGGCTGGTTTTTATAACCCTGCATATGTGCAAAGAGACTCTAGCTGCTTCACATCCACGTTGGGCGTGAATTTCCAAACAGACACGGTGCAGTCTGGGGCCTTGGACCTATGCCCTTGTAGTCGTCAGTGCTCTCTTTGGAAAAAAGTTTTTAGAAAATATTTACTGAGTGTCAATTTCACCCGTATATTGAGTATTCAATTTGGGGTATCATAGTAGAGGGCCAACATACCCACAATAAACATATTACTGTATTGGATCAAAAGGTGGAGGGAGGCCAGTGAGAAGAGAGGGAAAGGGTGTGAGAAAGGAATTAAGGTGTCTTACTTCCATGTGCTAATCCACATGAGGAATGCAAACACTGCGTACTGCAAACATGTACTAATAAAACATTTTTTAAAAAATTAGTATATTGGAAAGATTTTTAATTGTGTTCCTTTTTGTTTCCAGAAACCACTAAGTTTTATATGACAGAGGTAATTATTCAGCCATCTGAGAGAAGTTTTTCCGTCATACCAAGGTACAATAACAAATTAAGCTTATTTTATAATTTCAAATGTAGAAAAGTAGGTACAATTTGTGGGGGATTCATTTTTATTTATAACTCTAGTTAGAAAGGGAGAAAAAACTTTTGAGAAAGGTGGTTGAACCAAACCACACATATGAACAGGTTGAGGACTTATTTATGTTTTGCTTGTATAATGGTATAGACCAATGATGGCAAATGTTTTAGAGCTTTTAGACCGTCCACTGCAGAGTGTGTGCCATAGCTCTTGCACCACTGGTTAGACAAATGTGTCTGTATTCTGAAAGTGTGTGTGTGTGTGTGTGTGTGTGTGTGTGTGTGTGTACATGCATGCATGTGAGCACACATGCATGCTTCTGTCCTTGTATCAGGTATGCAGACCAACTTAATGAGACACTGTCTCAAGATTTTTTAAAAAGGGGGGGATGCGAGAAAAAAATTTGAAAAGGTACCTACTGTATTAATGTTTCTTTTCTTTTCATCATTTTACTTTACAAACAAAACTTAACTGGTATCTTTGATTTGTTTATAGATAGTAAAAAATTATGGCAACCTAATTATAAACTGCAGTTTTATCCTACTGTTACTTTCAGGAGATCTAAATAGAAAAAAAATCATAGGTAAAACTATGTTTGGGAATAAATTTCTCATATTCTTTTGTAACTTAGTTATTCACTGTTTAGTGTGCTATACAGCAGAAATGGAAGATCGACTTGTTCTAATGTGATGCTTTTTGTCAGTGGGGGAATAGTTTGATTTGGGGTGAAAATGTATTAATGATTAAAGAATATGATTAAAATATACTAAAATTAGCCCAGACTATGAGGAAAGGGGTGGTGGATACAAAAGTATGACATGCTGGTGTCTCTGCCTTTTGGGTACCCTCTGGGTGTTTTTGGCTTGTCTCCCTAGTTCCTAGGAGAGGCACGCTATGAAAACTGGTTTCTGTTCAAATAGGTCTCCGTTTGTCCAGAGCGTGGTCGCGCAGTGTCTGGTGGAACTGTCCTCAGCTAGAAGCACTTTTAGATACACTATTCAAGGTCAGGATGGCAAAGTGTACATCTTGGTAAGAAATTATTTCATCCAGTTCTTTATATCCTAGTAATCCAGTCTCAGAAATTATTTTTCTCATTCTATTAATTTTCAGGTCTGGTAGAAAAATGATCAAAAATTGAATTTTCACTAGGTTTAATGTATAAATGACACTTTTTAGTGTAGTAACAAATGACTGAGCACTGTTGTGTACTAGATTCTAGGGATATACAGAGAAAGAAACCCTGGTTCCTGTTCCTTAGAAGCTCAAATTACAAAGTATGATTTTTTACTCTCAGTTTATAATGGCTTTTTTGTTCAGTACAACATCATTCTGTGTCGTTTTTCTTTGTGTGTGATACTCTTTAAAGTATATTTTATTACTCCTATTGTTTCTGATTGCCTCTCACACCTGAAGTTGGAGGAACAGTGCCAAGTTCTGGAGAGAGGCTCTGTGGTTAGCGGAAGCATTCCTTACATGTACTGTGGGGTCTAATATTACACTGCCCCTGCTCATTGTAATGCTCTGCTGAAGTGAATCTGGGCATTTGTCTGGAAAACCGAGCATCATGGCCCAACTATTTTATCCAGCTAGTTAACATATATTGAGCACTTATTTGAAAGGGACTGTTCTAGGTGTTCAAGCTGGAACAAGCATACCTTTAAAGAGCTCAGAAAGTAATTTCTTCTTAATTCGGTTCCTGCTTGTTGCCTGTGTTTCAATTAGGCTGTTTTTGCCCCTGAATGATTTCTAAGAGGTCTCTAAATTACAAATAATGTTATTATTTCTGTATTAAATATTTTTTCCTAGTTCCCTTTTTTTTTAATGTTATGAAATGCTTCAAAAACTGTACCCTACTTACAAATTAGATACACAAATCTCCATTTTTCTCTGGTATATTTCATAGTATTTTTTGAATGGTTATACAAGATATAGATATAGTGGCAATATTTTCCTAAAAGGAGCTTTTCTCTCCATACCTTTAGCTCTGGCTCTTAAATTTAGACAGTTTGGTGGTTGACTCTTTGAGAAGTTCCAGGCACATCAAAAAGTTCCCCTTATTCGAAGACACATTGAAATCAGACAACATTTCTGCCCGGAATGCTGTCAAGGTGCTGTACCTGCCGTGCATCAAAAATCGGAATGAAAAGTAAGTTGTATTCTTGTTTTCTTTTTGGGGATGGGGTACGGGGAATCGAACTCAGGACCTCATGCTAGCCAGGCAGGCGCTGCGCCACTGAGCTAAGTCCCCGGCCCCCTCTTGTTTTCTTATCACGTGCAGTGGTTTAGTTCCTGTTGCCCTGCTGATATTAATCAATTGGAGCACTAAATGGTTCTATATCACTTCCCTGTTTGAAGCTTCCAAATCCATGCTGCCAAATGTGATTTTAAAGTACACTGAGTTATTACAGAGGAGGAATAATGGATACTAGCATGGGGAAAGTTTGCTTTTACTTTCAAAATAATTAGTCTTTTTTTGTGTAATCTCAGCTGTCAATAGGTATAGGTGCAGAGCTATATCAGACTAACTCCTACAAATACCTAGTGATAAGCACTTCCCAGGCATTCAGGATCGCAGTAGTGGAGAAGCATAGTTCCTACCTCCTGAGGTTATCATTTGAACAGGGGAAGCAGACAATAAATGAAACCAACCAAAGCAATTAAAAATTTATGTCGTGCTATGTGTTCTGCACTCATCTAAGCTCCTCTGAGCTTCACGCTTACTTAAGGCTAGCAACAGCCCTGTGGGGTGGGTACTGTTGTCACCCCTGTCGTAAAGATAAGGACACTAAGATCCAGGTGGTGAATTACTGTGGTGAAATGAAGCAAGGCAAGGTAATTGGATAGTGGAAGGATGGGTGGAGGAGGTTGTCATTTCATAGTGAAAAGTTAGAGATGATTCCTCAGATAAGTTGCTATTTAAGTGGAAAACTTCAAAGAAGTGGAGTTATGAGCCCTATCTAAGGGAGGAGCATTCCTAGTGGAGGGACAGCACGTATTTTATTTGGGCAAATGGGAAGTTTGTATATGTAGGTACTCTCCTATGGGTTTGATCATATCTGGACTAGGAGCAAAGAGATGCCAGGTTTTTTCTGGGAAGTAAATGAGACAGTTTTTTTAAAAATTGCTTTTAAAAAATTACACAAACAGCCCAAATCATAAGCTTCAAATACTTAGAAACGTACATAAACTAAATGTGAAAGTTCTTTATCATGTCCCTCTCTAGAAGTACTAATTGTGCTGAATATTCTTCTACTCCTTTTTCTGTTCATTTTGCATTGTAATATAATTTGAATAATTCACCTGTCATTTACACTTAAAAAATAAAATGCTCTGTCTTAGTGATTAAAAAAAAAATGCTCTGTCTTAGTGATTGTTTTCCATGTCAGTGCTTGACAGTTTATGACATGGATAGATTGTAATGATATTAACTGTTTTTTGATTGGTGGAACTTGGGTTACTACTTTTAGCTTTTATAATTCATGTTAAACTATATACTATTGCATATGTAAGTTTTCCTTTTAAGAAGAGGGATTTCTAAAGGTATAACTACTGAGTCAAAAGATATGCACATTTAAAATTTTAGTAGATAATCTCAAATTGTGTTTGTAAAAAGGCATCGCAAATTTGTACTCCCACCAGAAGCTCCCTTCAGTGCCTGTTTCTCTGTGCTCTCACCCAGACTACCGATTACAGTTTTGCCCATCTGATGCTAAACTAAATAAAGCAAAACAGGTTTAATCAGCTGTCCTTGTATTTTAGTAAGGGGTGATCAGAGAATACGGTTGGTTGGTTTGTTTATTTTGGAGGAAGGGTGTCTATGTAGTTTAGGCTAGCTTTGAACTCACTATGTAGCCCAGGCTGGCTTCAAACTCACAGCGATCCTCTTGCGTCAGCCTCCTGAGTACTCTTCCACCACACCTGGCTAGAATATGTTCATGTATTTTATGCTTTTGAGATTTTTGAGGGGGAGTTGAGTCAACTTTTGAGCCATTTAGTGATTATGTTATGTTGGAGTTGTGTGTGTGTGCACCTTTATATATTTCAGTTTATATAGTCAAGTTTATTAAAACACTTTATGTTCATCTTTCAACCTATTTGAAATTTAGACTTGTGAGGTTTAATCACACAATGGTTATGAACGTCATTGTCTTTTGTTTTTCATATCAGTTTTTCTATTTTGAAGCTGTGTTATTAGATACATAGTTTGTGCACAACAATTTAGCTCATTGCATATTTTGTCAATAGATTTCAATCCTTTTTCACTTGATATTATGTTTCTTATATTTCTCATTTGCCTTATGTGAATACTGCTGTCTTTGCTATTAAAAAATTACTGACTTCTTCCGTATTTTGCATTTCTTTATTTTCACCTATTCTGTGTCATTTTATCTTAGGTATAGTGTCTTATTAACATGTATCTTGTAAACCACTTCTAGTTGGATATTTTAACACTCTGGCGTGTGAGTCTCCTCATTTTAGTAATGAATTTGATTAACTCATATTTACTATGACTGTTTGATATTATTTTATTTTTTATTTTTTTGCGGTACCAAGGGTCGAACTCACGACCTTGCGCTTGCCAGGCAGGCGCTTATGCCACTGAGTTATATTCCCAGCGCCTGTTTGATATTATTGAATGTAGTCTGCTTCCCACCCTGCCCCTTCAGTACTGGGGGTTGAATCCAGGCCATTTACTTATTTTTAAAATTTTGAACTGAGGTTTTGTGAAGTTGCTAAGTTGCCCAGGCTGGGCTCGAACTTGAGATCTTCCTGCTTCATCCTCTCAGAATGGTAAGATTACAGGCATTTACCACCCTGCCTGGCTTAGTCTGCTGTCTTTTAGGTTAGTTGCCTTCTCTGTCATTTCTTTCCTCTAAGGGTTTGGAAGAAAAAGGTATGTCTTTCAAAATTATTTTTATGGGTAATCTTAAAATTTTTATATATGTAGTTAAAGTAATTCCTTTTGCGATCGATATCTAAGTTTGTACTCTTCACTAGAACAAGCAAGAGTTTCACATCTCTCTTTTCCCCTCTCTTACCTACTTCCTAATATTGAGATGATCTGTGATTCTGGTGATGGTGACCGCTCTTCTTTTTTAGAGAGTCAAGCCAGTGATCTGAGCCATTTTTTTTTACCTCTTACTCTCATGTATCCATGACTATAAATGCTTTTATGTATTTTTGTCGTTTAAGTATTTCCATAATAATGTGTAATGTTTGATATGTTTTAAAAATATTTATAAATAGTACACTTTTCCTGCAATTCGTTTTTTTCCCTTTAATGTTGTTTCATTTTTTAATTTGATAAAATTTTTAATAGTTCTTTTAATCTTGGGCTATATTAATCCCTGAAAGTCTGAAAATGTCTTATACCTATTCTTTTTCTTTGAAAATCCTCCACATTTTCTTTTTATCTTTGGTTTTCTAAGATTTCAGATAGATGTGTCATAAATGTGAGTGTTCACTCAAAATTTTCTTATGTCATATTTGTGCTTAGTGGTACAATAATTCACTGTCAGAATGCTAATTACACTTAAAGACTTCTATTTTCTATTAACTGTTTTTTCTTTGTGTGTTAGCTTTTTGGTTTTTTAAAAAGAGGGGTCGAGTTTAGTACTTCTTCTTCACAACTTTGTTCCCCAAAGTGTCTGACGATTGACTGGAATTCCTGCCTTGAGATGGGACCTCCATGCCCGCTAGGACCATGTCTTCCTTGGGCACCCTCAGGAATACATGTAAAAGACCTGAAAACATACGATTTGTATGTGTACAATGTACAGAGGGTTCTGGTCGTCTTTATGTACGATAATTACATTTCATCGATTGGTGCCTGTAGGCGCTTGGTCCATAGTCTGCCTTTATAGATTAGTGAAAGACAACTCAAAGGATGTGCCAGGCTGGATGTGCCCATTTGTCTTTTGGCAACTTAAGGATGTAGTTGTAGACTCAGTTACGGTGATAAATCTTGTATTCGGTATATGTAAAATCTTCACGCTACACTTCCTTTCTTGAGTGTTATAAGAATTTGGTGTATTTGCCCCATTATTTTGCTTGTTATTAACAAATTCCCATGAGACTGGAAATATGATGATTATAGTCACTCATGTTCTACTGTATCTGATTACTAGTCTCTCCCACCCCTTTAAATTCCAGATATCTTGGGGAAAAGTTGTTACTTAATAAGTGAATTTTATTAGCTTATGTGTTGTGTCAAAGTACTTCTGTTGTGCTTTTCCTTCTGCTGTTTTTGGCTGTTTGTCCCCCAAGGTAGGAACGGCCTTTTGCAGTTGGGTAAACATGCTCTGAGTTACTTCTCTTGTCCTTTAAGGACATTCGTGTCTTCCTTTCTGGGGGCATGACTGAGCAAACTCTAGACTCTGGCATATTTTTGACACACGAGGTGGTGCGTTAACTATTTTTAGTCCAGTTGGCTAAAATTCTTTTCTAGTGGAAGTGTGGATTGCCAGATGGTAGTCTAAAAGAGGAAAATAGCAAATATAACCATGATTTTATTTCCTTGAACACTCACAAAAAAAGTGGCATATAATATTTTTAGAATGTTCTTTCTTTCTAGCAATCATTCTCAACATTTGAAGTATGTTATTTTTTGTCCCTTTCCTCCTTGCTCTAACTAGTTTCACATGTTGATGAGCACTAAGTTTTTCCTGTGTCACATTTTGTATTAGTAGTATATTCTATCTTATATCTGCATTCTTTGCTTATCAGCATTTAGATCATATGTATTAACTTTTTAGCTTTGGACTCTAACTTCTGTCGTGTATGCCAATTTGTCACTTCATCTGTGGCCTCAAATTCTCTATGCTGGGGGTGATTTTGTGCCACAAAGGACATCTGGGGATATCTAAAGACATTTTTTTTTTTTTTTTTTTTTTTTTGAGATAGAGTCTCACTGTGCAGTTCAGGCTGGCGTTGGGCTCACTTTGTAGCCCAGGCTGGTCTCGAACTCACAGTGATTCTCCTGCTTCAGCCTCCCTAGTGCTAGGATTATAGGCATGCACCACCATACCCAGCAAGAAGACATTTTTGGTTACAACTTGGATGACTACTGCCCCCCTAGTAAATAGGAATTCTCTAACCATCCTGTAATGCATGTGGCAGCCCCTCCCCAGCCAACAAAGAATTTTC